GAGACTCCAAGTGGGGAGGTGTGCTTGGTGCATGGCAGAGTGGTGTGCATGTGTGGCTGACAGAGCATGTGAGGCTGGAGGGAGGCTCATGCCAGCGAGTCTCTTCTAGGCATGGGGATTCTGTATGGGAAGTCTGGCCCAATTCTATCGTTGGTAGGGTTCAGAATGATCTTTACTTGTAGGTGAACGATAAATCCCAGCAACTGCAACTCCTAAATGTCAAGATCTATTTACCCCACTCTACCAGTGTTCACATTTGGGCATATTGAGTATTTGTGCTAAGTTTGCTCCAGATCTCTCATTGTTTGAGTCCACAGTGCTCTCTGAATGTAGGTGAACTACAACTCCAAAACTCAAGATCAACACCCTACAAACCCTTTCAGTATTTTATGTTGGTCAGGGGAGTTCTGTGTGTCAAGTTTGGTTCAATTACACAGTTGGTGGCATTCAGAATGCAATTTGATTGTAGGTGAACTATAAATCCCAGCAACTAAAACTCCCAAATGACAAAAGCAATCCCATCCCAACCCTACCAATACTCAAATTTGGGCCCATTGGGTATTTGTGCCAAATTTGGTCCAATGAATGAAAATACATCCTGCATATCAAATATTTTCATTACTATTCGTAACAGTTGCAAAATTACAATTATGAAGTAGCAACAAAAATAATTTTATGGTTGGGATTCACCACAACATGAGGAATTGTATTAAGAGGTCGCAGCATTAGGAAGGTTGAGAAACACTGTTCTAGAATTAGCTAAGATGCCAGCACATACAATTATTTCTAGGACATAAATTCAACAGCAATCAAGCAAGTGTTAAAGAAATGTGCGCAGCAAAACAAAATAACTCTAATGCTCAGCTGATGTAATGCTACTAAAGGACTCTAGCAATTTAGTAACCCCTGAATAAGAATAATAAAGGTAGTTATCCATTTCTAAAATGTTGGATGAGACTAGATGTAACACATGATCAGTGAAGAAGGAGGAATCCAAGGGAAGAAGAGATGAGGGAGGGATACACACTTAGCAATGTGCTGGTAAAATCAAATAATTAAAAAAAGAACTGGAAACTGGGTTTTTTTTTAATTTTCTGGGCTGCATCACTATGTTCCAGAGGCATTACCTCCTGACATTTTGCCTGCATCTATGGCAGGCATCCTCAGAGATTGTGAGGTCTGTTGGAAACTAGGAAAATTGGGTTTATATGTCTGTGTAATGTCCAGGGTGGAAGAAAGAACTCTAATCTGTTTGGGGTAACTGTGAATGTAGCAACTGGCCACCTTGATTAGCATTTAATGGCCTAGACATTTCAAGGTCTGGCTTCTTACTGCCTGGGGGATTCCTTTGTTGGATGGTGATTAGCTGGCCCTAATTGTTTCTTGTCTGGAATTCCCCTGTTTTTGAGTGTTGTTCTTTATTTACTGTTATGATTTTAGAGATTTTTTAAAATATTGGTAGCCAGATTTTGTTCATTTTCATGGTTTCATCCTTTCTGTTGAAATTGTTCACATGCTTGTGAATTGTAGAAACTCTCAACACTTACAAAATATATTCCTCTTCTGATTGAGCCTTGTAGCCCATTTTTCTTAGCCTTTATCCAAAAATTCAGGCATTTATTTCTCAAGGCTATATTATTAATACAAGGCTATATTAGGGTATTTCATGGATTTATGCATCAGATTTCTGAAGTACCCTTACACAGAATGAGACAGCTCTCTTTGGTGGCCAATTTGAGTGTCATGAAAGGGCAACAAATCTTGGTTATTTCCTTTATTATTACTGCATGTTTTTTTTTAATGACAGGGAGGGAGAGAAGCATTTTCAGTGGGATTTTCTGCCTCAAGTATACAAAAGCTTAGTTGGTCCAGGGCACTGTGGGTGGCTTATATTGAGGGTGCTTCTCAGGCAGCAAAATGTCTCTTTAAGGCTGTAATCATATCCACACTTACGGTTGTCACATGGGGAAAAAAAATACCCACCTCATATCTGGTGTTAAAATAACACCTGGATGTTATTCAGGATTGCAATCTAATTCTGTTCTTTTTCACACCTGAGGCTTAAAATCAAGTTTAAAAGATCTACCCTTAAACCTGCATTTTCTGACAAACCAGTGTTATTATATATCTGCCTGTGGATCAAGTAGGCATTGTTGTTGAGCCAGGAAATTGGTGGGTGGCCCGGGAAATGGGAGGTCCATGATTCTTTGTGCCATTAAATGATTCTCATTTCTGTGTTGCCATAGTGTGATTTGGCTTTATTTTTTGAAGGTGATTTGTGCAGATTACATATCCGTATTAGTGTATATCCAATGATCAGCATTTAAATACCAACCATTTTTGCTTTGCTTAATAGGAGGCCAGTGCCCTATTGCGGCATACATATAAAATATGGACACACACACATACATGGGGAGGAGAGGAGATGGAGTGGCCCAAGCCATGTGGCTGAAAGTAATGTTAAGCACAACACATGTGATAATCGCAAGACCCCCTTCCAACACCGAAGTGAGTTTGCATAGGTGAATAGTGTGGCTGTTGCTGCTGCTCTTATTTATATTCAATATCGATGTTTGTGGAGTTAACATAAACTAAAGCAGGTTTTTTGACTGTACAGACACCTTAGATGGAAATATGGCTAACTGAGCACATTTGGAGTACCTTTTCATTAAACAAAGTTTTGGAATATACCCCTTTAAAAAAAAAAAACCCTGACTATGTCCTAAAAGAACAATTATCCTCTTGGTTGTTGTAGGTTTTTCAAGTTGTATGTATGGCCATGTTCTAGAAGCATTCTCTCCTGACAGTTCACCTGCATCTGTGGCAAGCATCCTCAGAGGTTGAGAGGTTATTATCCTTTTTGTTGTGTCTTTCTCTTTGTCTCTAAGGAGGAGTGGGAAGAGGAGAAGGCTGAAGAGGAAGGGGCTGGAGATCCTCGACAGATAGTCAAGCCTGCTCAAGAGGAAGAAGAGGCATTTGGTTTTCCTACTTTTCAAGAATGTCGAAGGGAGCAACAAGCAAGGCATAGATCAGCCGGGATTGCTGAAAAGACTCACCGCAATCAGACCATCCCTAGAGACACATGTGCTGTGGGCTGAGGACTATAAATCAGGAGCAAGGAAAACAGCCGTTGCTGGCAACAACTGATCCAATTACCTAGCCTTTGTTCCTCTATCTGTTCCGGCAAGAAGCCTAGTGTTTCTAAGTGTTTTTGACTTGGGAAGAAACTATCAAAGACTTTATGTTGCTCAGCCAAGAGAGTTTTACCATGTTTTTCGAACTTGTCTTTTGTGAACTTGCTTTTGTGTATTTGGTTTTGCTACTTTAAACTTTGCTGAAGTAATGCTTTTTGAGTTCCTTTAAACTTGGTGTTAAGGCTATTCTTGGGGCAAAACAGGACATACTGCATCAGCCCATATCTACAACCCAACACTAATTAAAGTGTTAAGTTTCAAGCACTGAAAAAAATATAGCCATAAAACAGATATCATGATTTATTATTGTTTTTCCAGAGCTTGAAGTTTATTACCAACAGAATCAGCAAAAGCTCTTTTTCAAGCATAGCCAGAAATACTGTGTTGCAAGCAAAAATTATAAGGCAATGTAAAACAACACTAAATTACATATGTCAATTTAAATTTGTGATTATTAATTTCCATAATAATGACATTTTGAAGTGTCCAGATGATTGCCAATTGACCCAGTTTTTTTTAAAAAAAACAACCTACAAGAATAAAAAAAAATGGAAGAAATCAAAACAACAGTGTGGTTCTATTACAGTTTTTTGCCTGGTGGCTATGACATTAACTCTGCATATCTGCTTTGAGTCACCTACGGGCTGAGAAAGGTGGTATACAAATACAGTAAAGAAATATCTTTTCTCATTACTCAGTAAGTGAAAAGAGGGAGACCATGTCTACACACAACCAAATATCCAAGTAACTCAGGTTTCAGCTTGGATCAGGAATATCGTAATATTCAGACATTGACAAAAAGTACTTTCAAAGCTTTTGGGTTCTACGTGAAATAAGTAGAGTTTCTTATTGTCAGTTGTCTTTATTACTATGACTACTTCATTTGCAAACATGAGCATGCGCCTGAGGATTTCTACAGAAGTGGTGGTAACAGGGGAAAAGAAGAAGTTCAAATAGTCTGAAACAATTCTTGAGCAAACACTGGGAAAAGTGCTTTTAAGTGTGCAAAGTAAGCAGATTCAGATGCGGAAAAAGTTGAAAGGAGCATTTTTGCTTACAAACCAATACTGTTCACTGGGATGTTGTGAGTTTTCCAGGCTGTATGGCTATGTTCCAGAAGCATTCTCTCCTGATGTTTCGCCTGCATCTTATGGCAGGCATCCTCAAAGGTTGTGAGGTTTCCAACAGACCTCATAACCTCTGAAGATGCCTGCCATTGATGCAGGTGAAACATCAGGAGAGAATGCTTCTGGAACATGGCCATACAGCCCAGAAAACTCACAACAACTGTTCAAATCGTTCTGAACTCATAGCAATAAATAGTACAGTCCTCCAAACATTCACCCTGGAAGTAAGTCCCATTGAAGGATAACATGAGTAAAATGCTTTCCCAGTAGAATACATGGAAATCTAGTAACATTTAGCAAAACAATGTAACTCTGAACATCCCAAAGGACAACCCACCTGGTCAGTATGTACACACTGCTATTTTGACTTCATGCGTCCTGTGGAAATCTGAAATATTTAGTTTGGTGAGACCTGAAAAGTAGTCTAGCTGAGAATTTTAAAGGCCCTTCTATAAACCACTGATGTCAGGATTTCAGATTATGGAAACACAGGAAAGAAAGTGGAATAATAGCACTGTAATTCTGTAGTGTGAACGGACCCTCAACAAATGACAGCCTTTTGAAAAACCTGCATTTTTGTATGTCATCCCCAAATCCTTTTAAGCGGTGCCAAATGTAATCACTACAACTGGAGTGAACAGAATTGTAATAATTAGTTACTTTGGTTTCATTATCTCACCTGACAAGCAATTTGTTTCTTTGTGTCCAAAGGCCAGAGGTTTCCTTCATTAGCTTGTTTCTAGAAGATACAAAAACATTTTTCCTTCTATTAGAAATGTTCCAAGAGATGGTGTAGAGACACACTGTACAAGACAATAAATAAAAACAATGGAGGGTTTGGTTTACTGTGAGTTTTCCAGGCTGTATGGCCATGTTCCAGAAGCATTCTCTCCTGAAATTTCGTCCACATCTATGGCAGGCATCCTCAGAGATTGTGAGGTATATTGAAACTAGTCAAAGGATTTTATGTAACTGTGGATTAATGTTCAGGGTGGGAGAAAGAACTCTTGTCTGTGTGAGGCAAGTGTGAATGTTGCAACTGGCCAGCATAATTAGCATTTAATGACCTTGCAGCTTCAAAGCCTGGCTGCTTCCTGCCTGGGGGGGGGGTTCTTTGCTGAGAGGTATTAGCTAGCCCTGATTTTTCATGTCTACCATGTCTACTGATGTTTCATGTATACCATGCAGCTGTGGACAAGTCTACATAGGGAACCACCAAACACAGCGCCCAAACATGAATCAAGGAACAAGAAAGGTATTTATTTATGTATTTGCAGTATTTCTATGCCACTTTTCTCACCCCTGGGGGGGGGGGAGGGGATGGGACTCAAAGTGCTTTACAAAAAAAATGATAAAATTCAATGCCTTACACACACAAAACAAAATCATAAATCAAAAAACCAGTATTACTGATACCAGTGTTAAAAACTCTAAAATCAGGACAGAAAATAAAAAAATAAAATGCTAAAAGCAGGAGAATTCAAGACAAGAATCACTCAATGCCAGCTAATACCACCCAATGAAGGATTTCCTCATGCAGGAAGCAATCAGGCTTTGAAGCTGCAAGGCCATTCAATGCTAATCAAGGTGGCAACGTGCAACATTCACACTTGCCTCAAACAGACAAGAGTTCTTTCTACCACCCTGGACATTCCACAAACTTCTAAACATCACTTGCTAGTTTCCAACAGACCTCACAACCTCTGAGGATGCCTGCCATAGATGTGGGCAAAACATCAGGAGAGAATGCTTCTAGAACATGACCATACATCCAAGAAAACTCTCAGCAACCCAGTGATTCTGGCTATGAAAGCCTTCAACAACACAATGAGGGTTTTGTTTTTTGTTTTTGTTTTGTTTTTGTTTTGGGGTTTTTTAAGTAGCTCTGATTTATAGAGAAACAGTCTTGTAATTTATTTTTACTGCTCTGGAAATAAGGTTAATATAAGAAATAATTCAGAATGAAATAATACATTTATTTACAACCATTATTAAGAGGAACGAAACAGAACAATTTGGCTAAAAGAAATTGACATAAAATCAACGAAAGTATATCAGAAAGGATGTTTGACTGAATGACATTCAGGCAGCATAAATATGTACATTGTTGAAATTACGAGAAAAGGGTTTCTCATTCTCAGTAGCAGCAGTATTACCAGCAAGAAATCCACCACTTTTTACCAACCAGCTCCAACATGTACAACTATTCTGTTTTTAACAGACAGCACTAGAAGAGCTGATTTTATTAGTTTGTTTAGCTTTTTGTGAACTATATTTTAGGCAAAAAGGAACTTTCCTTTTACAGCTACTGTGTTTCATTGGTTTTGATGCTGTCAGAAGCTTTAAAGTATGCAGAACTTACTCATATTCATTCAAATGTGGATACAGTGGGATCTTGGTATGCTCTGAGCTTCAGTTCCAAGACCCTCCATGAATACCACAATCTGTGGATGTTGAAGTCCCATTATATATGTGTGTGTGTGCGTAAGGAGCAACTTGAGAAACTGCAAGTCACTTCTGGTGTGAGAGAATTGGCAGTCTGTAAGCACGTTGCCCAGGGGACATTAGTACCAAAAGGGTTACAGATCAGTTTTTACTAAACAATAGATTTGATTTGGTTATTTGGGGTGCTGATTCAGAAAATTGCATTGGATAGGCCACATCAGCTCTAGTTTCTGATACAGAACATATGCCATCCAATAGTCACCATCTGCTCACCAAGAGAAAACCATATTTAATAATCTAGAGCTGACGTAGTCTATCCAAGGGAGCGGGGCTGGTCAGTGACAGGGAAGGAGTGGCAAGTAGCATGAAAGGAGTGGAAATAAAATAAGTAAAATAAAATAAAATAAAAAGGAAGGAGGCTCGTGGACCAGATTTTTGTCTTTGGACCCAATTGGGGTCTGCAACCCACAGGTTAAGAACCACTGTTCTAGGTGCTCCAGTGGACACTGATGTTAGACTAATGGGCCTTGTGTTCTAGCAAGGTGGTTCTTATACAGTGTTCCCTCACTTATTGCGGGGGTTCTGTTCCAGGAACCCCCGCGATAAATGAAAAACCACAATGTAGGGATGCTATACTGTATATGTACAGTATAGCTCTACCCACTCCTCTCTCTCCCTCTTTTCTCTCTCTCTTTCTCTCCTCTTTCTCTCTCCCTTCCTCCCTCCCTCCCCTTCCCCTTGCTGGAGCCATCCTTCTCCCTCCCTGGCATGGGGCTCTCACCTGGTCATTCCCTCACTACTTGTATTTCAATTTATTTTTTTTAAAAGCCGCAAAACAGCAAGTCCATGGTTAGCGAACCACGAAGCACCAAGGGAACACTGTATTCCCATCAGCTTTATCCACCAAACAGTAGTGTCATCTTGATTACATAGGTCTGTGTTTCATTTTATATTTGTCAACATAAAACAAGCCTCACATGCATTTGATACTTTTTGTCAGGGTAAACCATGCTATAGAGCAGGGGTCCTCAAACTAAGGCCCAGGGGCCGGATGCGGCCCTCCAAGGTCATTTACCCGGCCCTCGCTCAGGGTCAACCTAATTCTGAAATGACTTGAAAGCGCACAATAACAACAACAATCCTATCTCATCACCCAAAATTAGGCCCACACTTCCCATTGACATACTAATAAGTTTATATTTGTTAAAATTGTTCTTCATTTTAATTATTGCATTGTTTTTAAGTGTCTTTTGCACTACAAATAAGGTATGTGCAGTGTGCATAGGAATTCATTCATGATTTTTCCAAATTATAATCCGGCCCTCCAACAGTTTGTGGGACTGTGACTTGGCCCTCTGTTTAAAAAGTTTGAGGACCCCTGCTATAGAGAAATGACATGTTTGAACTTAACTCTTAAATGAGTTTTAAAAATTAAAATTAACTGTGGCTTCCAGGGATCTCTTTGTTAGGAATGATCCACAAATTTAAGGCAAATGATCTACTCTACTGTCCCCTTTGCTTGTATCCCAAATAAGATTGCATTTTTGTTCATAAAGCACTTAAGATAAAGCAACAATGAGGCAAAAATAAGGAGACTTTTTAAAATTTATCTGACACAAAAGAAAGTGAAAGAGAAGTGAGGTGAAGAAATCTGAACACCTATCCAAAATCAGAAAGTAGTGTCTGAAGTTATTCTATGATGTTATCCTGAAATGTGAATTTTGATCCCTTCCCAAGCTGTAAAACATTTTATTTTGTGCTCATGCATCCCTAGAATTATGTTACAACTTTAAACATTCAACAATGAAATCCAACCCATAGTGCTATACCACAGGCAGCTGGTGTGATGGAACTCATTGCATTAGTTCTGGAGATCTCAGAAACTGCAGGGTATGCTCTCTTCTTCACTGCAGGAGAAGGCAGACAAACCATTTCATCAGTGAGGTTGGGATCACCTGCCAAAAGGGCATTTTCTTCGCTGCCTAAAGCTTTTCATTTCTCACTGTTCTTTAGTATCAGGACAGACACAGGACGAGTGATATTCTGCCTCAGCAATTCTCTTGATACAGTTTTCCACTTACAAACCAGGCAACATGCCTGCCAAATATGTTGCCTCATCCACTAAACTAACTAACAAAATGCAATTTGTTTCATAAAGATCAAGTAGACAGAACATATTGTGAAGAACAAAAATAACATTCTGGCCTTTCATCACACATTTAGTGCAAACCAAAGGGCTCTTTCTAGGAAGTAATATCCTCTTAATTCAGCCGTTCCCAACCTTTTTTTGACCAGGAACCACTTGACCAGGGACTACTCTCCAACATTAGTACCAAAAGGGTTACAAATCATTTTTTTGATCAACATTAGATTTGATTTGTTTATTTGGGGTGCTGAGTCAGAAAACTGCATTGGATAGACCACATCAGCTTGAGTTTCTGATACAGAACATATGCCATCCAATAGTTGCGATCTGCTCACCTGCAGAAAACCATATTTAATAATCTAGAGCTGATATGGTAGTAGTAATTTTTCATGGGTTGTCAACTTCTCTCCTCCCAACATCCCCGTTGCCTTGGCACTATGAAAGGGTTTTGTGAGACTAGTTGCTCACGTTGCCTTGTGGTTTTGAGGCAACGGTGTCGTAATGATGAGGCCGCGGACCATATTTTCATTCTTGGGGACCACTGGTGGTCTATGGACCACAGGTTGGGAACCACTATCTTAATTAATGAGGATCAGTGATGGAAGATGGCTTCTTAACAGATTTCAATCTCAATTTTAAAGGAGCCGTCCAAAATTTGGGTGAGAATAGGGCTCAACACTCTAGATAATTCCTTTGAAATTATCATTGTGGGGGTCTATTATAGAGTCCAAAGATGGATTGAGGATTTGGAAGACGACTTTGTGATGGCTTCATAAAATAATTGTGTATTAATAGAGCATTATGTTTCACTAGTCATTGGAATTTTAAACATTCTTCCAGTCCCAAAAGGTTTAAGCTGCCACGCAAAGAACTCATTTATCTTCCTTGTTCTCTTTATTTAAGGAGCATTAATCACTAACAGTCCACAAAGGAAAGCAAATTAAATCTAAGGTTATCAATAATATCAAGACAATTCTCAATTGAAGGTACTCCTAGTTAATATTTCAGTTGCCACCTTGTGTTAATATTTGTTTTCTACTTGCAAGAAAACAGGTGGTTACTATAAGTTAGACTGTATAGTTTAGCATTATTCACTAAAAAATGAAAATGTTCTAATCGATGAAACTGAATCTCCATACAGACACCTA